TCTTAAATCTCATTATTATTGTGTTAAAACACGGAAAAACGAGCCCTTAGGTATACACTTCTTTCCCTTATATATATATATATATATATATATATATATATATATATATATATATATATATATATATATATATATATATATATATATATATATATATATATATATATATATATATATATACATACATAACAGTCACAACGTGGTTTATTTCGACGTTTCGGCCTAAAGTCTGGTCTTCATCAGGATCGAGGGTACAGTTTGTGGGTGCTCAGCTTCTTATAATCTTAAATCAAAGGGGGAGAGAGAGAAAGAGGAAAAAAAGAAGAAAACAATAAAGAGAAGAGAAATTAAAAGAAGAAAAAAAGAAAAAAGAAGAGTATAAGGTGAACTCTCTCGGGCACCCCCTTTCAATCTTCCTTTCCCTTCCCCCTCTATAACTCTCCCTTTTCTCCTTTTCCCCCTTTAGGATGCCTGCGGTCTGTGTATCCTTCCTTTCACTAACGCATCGCTCCCGACCAGACAGCGCCTCCTGGCTCTGACGGTTCAGTGTGGGGGGAAAATAGCCTTTTTTAAGAAGTGTAAGCCTTTAATTACTCAGCGCCTCGTCGACATCTCGTCGTAGAAAGTGGGGCACCGCGTATTGCCGCAGAGGCTGTCAAGCGGGTGCAATGCCAATTCTTAGCCGCTTCTGGATTACGCGTGAATTAGGGGTCTCCCGATAGTGCACAGGGTTGCTGTTGGGCATGTCAAGCTTGGCACAATTGATTGGATAGTAAAGTAAAAACAGAAACAGACGACAGCTGTACTTACGAAGAGTAATTACACTTGGAACTATTTTGATTTGTCTAGTGCCCTTCGCAGCTGCAGTGCCGTGCACTCAGTTATTTTTTTATTATTGCCGTTATTGTTTTCGAATGCTTTAATTGCTGCGAATGTACCCAGATTCTCATTCATTCCTCTATCGAGGGTGTTAAATTGGTGGATAAGGTATGACTCTCGTTGTTCACGTTCTCGGTTTGATTTAAATCTCGCCTCTAATAGCGTTACTGATAATTTGTCGAATTCACGGTCAGGAAGACAGATGTTTTGATAGGGGTAGATTTGGGGCTAATTTCACATGGGCTCTGTGATAATTGAAGTGAACCTTAAATGGTGTTTCTGTTTGTACGATGTACTGTATACTGCACACGTTGCATTCGAGTAGGTATACCTCATTAGAGGAATCGCATGTTAGGTTTCCTCTTATGTTAATAAAAAATTTGAATTGTGTGCTGGTTGCTCAGTGTGTTTCTGGCATCGTTTCACATAGAAGACATCGTGACTTTAAACAAGGTCGGCATGAATTATTAAAGGGTGAGGTATTGATTTGACAGTGGACAAGTGTGTCTTTGAGGTTGCGTGGTCGTCGTTAAACGACGCCAAGAGCAGATGAGAAGGCTCGTTTCAGACGTTCACTTTGTTCCAGAAAGTCTTAAAGTCGTTTAAGGATTTTGTTTACGTTGGGTAACCTTGTGCTGCAAGTTAAGCGAAAGTTTGTTCGTTGTGGGTCCTCTTGCGGTGGTCGCTTCATAAGTGAGTCATCACGCTTCACTTTTCTCGCTTTTCAAATGGCGCCATCAATTACACGTGAAGGTATTTTCGTTTATCGAGCATTTGTTTTAGCCTCTGTGAGCTCGTGTCAAAATCAGCGTCTCTTGAACAGATTCGCCTAAACTGGTGAGCCTGGCTGTATGGAATACTGTTTTTACTGTGGCGCGGGTGATCGCTTTGGTAGTGGAGGTACTGTTGTCGATCGGTTGGTTTGCGATATAGGTTTGTAGAAAGCTTGCCTTCTTCTATCGTTATGGTAACATCAAGAAAATTTGAGGTTGCTTGCGAGTAGGTGTGGGTGAAGTGTATGTTCGTATGTACAGTATTGTAAGTGTCGTTAAAGCTGATATGTTCATCCTCGCTTGGGGTCCAAATAAGAAAGGTGTAGTCTATGCATCTTCTGGATAACAGTGTTTTCAAGAAACCCTGTGCAAGAAACTGTGATTCTAGCTTTCCCATAAATATGTTGGCATAAAGGGTGCCATTTTGGTGCCCATAGCGGTTCCGCTGATTTGTCGACTGTACTTTGGTTAAATTCGAATGAATATAATTCTAAGACCATCCTCGTCAAAGTTGCGATGGCAGAGAAATCTGGTAGTTAGATTGTCTATGGTCTGTGTACTATGGTCTGTGTACTGAGCTCTTTTCCCCCAGACCGAACCGCCAAAGCCAGGAGGCGCCGTCCGGTCGAGAACAATGCGTTAGTGAAAGGAAGGATACACAGACCGCAGACATCCTAAAGAGGAAAAGGAGAAAAGAGAGAGAGATGGAGGGGGAATGGGCAGGAAGAGTGGAAGGGGGCGCCCGGGGAAGTCTACGTTATATTCTCCCCTTTTTTTCTTTTTTCTTTTTCTTTTCTTTTTTCCTCTTTCTCTCATCCCTCTGATTTAGGATTGTATAAAGCTGAGCACCAACAAATTGTACCCTCAATCCTGATGAAGGCCAGACTCTAGGCTGAAACGTCGAAATAAACCACGTTGTGACCACTCACGAAGGATCTGCTTGACTACTTGTAACGCTACGGCCACTCAACCACCATGCCTGCCTCTCTCTCTCTCTCTCTATATATATATATATATATATATATATATATATATATATATATATATATATATATATATACATATATATATCAGATGCTTGCTTTCGCGCAGCAGTCCTCCGGAATATATAAAAATTTTGTTAATTATGAGGTCTGTTCAAGTAACTTGAAATCACACGAACACTACTGTGGTATGGTATGGTAAACTTTGTTAAAGTCCTGATGATCCACGCTTAGGTTGACGCATGCGGCTCCCAAGAGGGGCAACAACGTTTAACCTTACTGTCGCATTGGGGGCCTTCTGGGTGACTTGTACTTGCTCTGAAAGATCTTCGCTGGCAAGAACTCTTTACCACCAGTCGCTTTCCTTGTAACAGTATGTGGAGGCTGCAGGGCATTGCCAAAGCATGTGGTCCAGAGTGACAAATGCCATTACACTTCTAATAATTTATTTGAACCTCTCTGTTCAGATATATTTTGTTAATGAAACTTCAATTTCGGAAAGTTTTTGTTTTTAGCAATCCTAAAGCAACGCTTGCTATCTGCTAAGCTGAGCGTGTGGCACTGGAATTGTTTTCTGCTCATGTAGTAATGCTTTGCGAATTCATTTTATGCGAACAATCGGTATCTTTCCTGCTAATATTGTTATTCGGATCCTGGTCTCGTACTTCACGGGTAGGAAGCCCCCGTGTGGCTGCGTTAGCCCACTTGTTTAAGTTCATCCGGGATTATTCGACAGACCCCATATGAGCAAGAAACTAGCGGATTTCGATACCTTGGCTGTATATCTCATCAATTAGCTGGGCAGTATTTTTGGTTACAAAACCTTTATTCAGGTGTCTAATATTTATTTCAGAGTCACTCACTATGTACTTTCATCCACCATGGAAAAACAATACCTTAATTGTTTAACATATATGGAAAGCAAGGACGTTTATAAAGCATTTGTATAAAGTATTAGTTCATTTGCCAACATATTACGATATTTCTTGAAAACAAGCGTCTTGTACGAGGACGAACCACATCGTTTTCGCGATATTCCACTTTTCAGTTCACCGCTTATTGTAAGAACGCATGCAAATTATTTCGCCCAGTAACATAAAGGCTATGCTTAAAGTTGCACATTAAGTAATTGACAAGCCTTCTGTTAAATATTACATATTGCAAACATTTTGAAGTTACTGCTTGCTTGTATTCATTGGGGCAGTTTTGTGTTGCAGGTATTGCGTCGACAAGCCATACGACATAAGCGCGATTCCCAACTACAGTAGATGCATTTCGATGAAAGGAAAACTTAGCGTATGTAAATGAAGTACGCAGGTCTACTATTGCCTATTATGTGTTAGTTCTTGTGTGTAGCGTTGTGCGGTTATTGATAATGAGAAAGTCAACCATTGCGCTTTGGGGTTACATTACCGTAAAAAACCTCGAGAGCTCAGAACTACTCAAGACTCAAAACAGATGTTATTTAGCACAAAGGACCAAATGCGGACACAAATGAGGACATACGCTAACTTTGATTTGATTGATATGTGTGGTTTAACGTCCCAAAACCAACATATGTTTATGAGTGACGCTGTAGCGAAGGCCTCCGCGAGATTCGACTACTTGGAGTTCTCTAACGTGCACCCAAGTCTGAGCACACAGGACTACAGCATTTACGCCTCCATCGAAAATGCAGCCGCCGCAGCTAGGGTTCGATTTCGCGACCTGCAGATCAGCAGCCGAGTATCTCAGTCATTAGACCATCGCAGCGGAGCGACGCAAACATTTCAAAACACAAGACCAGCGTGACTACGATAGAAGACCTGAGAGAAATACATTTATGTCAGCAAATGATATCAATGGGATGCTTACGCTTGCTTGTAGATGGTGAGTACCCCAATAAACAATCTTTAAAAATATTGCACATCGTTTTCACCCCATGCTTTGCCGACGTGTCAGGTGTATCATTTACGCATTCCTTTACGTGCATAAATTGTAAACGTGCAGTAGTGCTAGTTTTCTTTGCTGAAAAACAAACAAGCCGAACTTATTGTTCGATCTGATCTCATTTGTGTACTACGTTGCACAGCCACCGTTTTTTTGCTGAACACGCGAGTATCACCCACCGAGTCTGTAAGCGCCTTTCCTGGGTGTGCTGGTGTGCGGTTGCCAGAATAGCTCAGCAGAAGACAGCTGCACGAGACTGTTCATCATGCGAATGCACGTATTCTCGTTAATTTCACCGCTATGCTGCATTATACACCCCATTATCAACAGGTTGATTGACGCTCACATGTTTGACTAAAAAAAATGGGCAGCTTTACTTTATAAAGATATCCGAGTTTTCACACGTCAAATCTACAAAAAAATCTGTTAGGCTTACTTGGACTGCTTCTGAAGGAACCGCGCCAAGCCTGAAACGTATTTCACGTTGCCTACGAGAATTTTCGTCTGTGGACCAATGCTTGTGGATGATCCCTCGAATATAGTCTTCAAAAATGTCATCCAATTCCACTGCATGAAAAATGAACAGAAAAACGTGAAATAAAGTGCATAAAAATTGGCAGCCCAGCCTTGAAGAACAATGTCTCAGAATCTTAAATTTACAGCAGTAACGTATCATTGGTCAGGAGCGGCCTAGAGAAGTAACTTTTGGACATTTGAAAACAATTGGAAACACCTACCTGAGGTAGGTGTTTCCAAATGTTTGCTCTTTTATTGCACGTTTAACAAACAAAAATTTTCATCAAGAAGCCATAGTTACAAAAATATGAAATAGTGAGCCACTTATAATCAGATATAGGGCGTAGAGGAACGTTGTCTTTGCCAGTGGAGTGAGCTAAAACAAAGGCTCAGAGATATTACAAACGCGCCCAGCGTCAGGCAAACGTTCTTTCGGAGACTGCAATGATTTGCAATGATTTCAGTGACCTTTGTGCACCCGGTAACTACAGCAGAATCGATCCTGGTGAAGACCGAGGCCAGCCAAGGCGTACGACATTCCCCTCCTCGCCACCGCGAGATAAGGGCGCGTGAGGGAGCATCGATCTCCATTTTTAAGTCGGGCAAAGTACGCGTAGGAGATTAGAGCGGGCTCCGCCACGTGATGTGGCGCCGCGCGCTCATGGAGCCACCTTGCTGGCTATGCGGAAAACACAATTCCCCTCCAAAATGCTGGTGAGCAATGGTAAATGGTAGATATAAGTAGCTTGCCGTTTAAATGGTGAAGGATGTGCTTCGGGGTGGCTCAGTGGTTGATACCTCAGTTTCACGACGCATAGGTCCCTCGTTCGATTCGGCGCTACAGAGGGTTTTTTTCTGGACTTTGTTCTTTCTTGCGTTTTCATCTATACAGATACACATACATATGCGGTGCATGACATCAATGCTGACGCCCACGTCGACGTCAACGCCGTCGGCAAAATTCAGCTGAGAGTGTCCATATTATTGCTATCGCAACAAAAAAACAACGGTGGAAATGTTTTGAAGCCCACGGCGTCATCCAGTGTGATCCGTGGTATGCAGTGGTGTGCCGAGCTCGAGTGACAAATCCAGCGAATGCCTGTCGGCTGCCCTTGCAGCGGGTTTGAGTGCGATTGTCTGCTGAGTGAAAACATTGTCCGGACTACTGTGGGCAATGGCTGCCTCCTTTGCTTTGATCTGTGATAACTGATAGTCTTTGCAAGAACGAGTGTAAACACGCTTCGGAGGTTCGAAGTTTTGAGCGTGAGCCCTCGCCTAGCACAAACTCAAATAGGAGCGATGTCGTCTGCATTGAGCACAGTCATTCGCCATCGAGTTTCCATGAACCAGTCTATGTAACTAACTTCGCGTGAAAGAAAGTGACGTCAGCTTCCATCAAAACCTAGACGCTATATATGACGCCCGAGACACGGAGTGGTGCGTGCGGAGGAGTTATCAGAAGTATGTTTTCAGCATGGGCATTTGCTCATCATTAACGAAAGTAAAGCTTTGCCGTACGCACATGACTGACTATGCCAATTTCACAACACTTAAACATTCTTTGTCTTCGGTGCAAATCACTTGCGCTTCTTGCCAAGCTAACGACAACCGTGAGAGTGTTAGCAGTAGCGTGACGCGATTTCCGGCCGTGCATCAGCGACGCTGACTCATTCAGCTGTTAGGTATCTCATTCACGCTCGTGTATAAAATATAAACTTGAGCGTGCGCGTTTGTGCACGGGTGCTTGTAACACGGCTACGTTAAGGACTTAGAACTATAATATTTAACACAAAAAATTCCTCATTGCTTGCGTAGTCATGTTTTATTCGCGTTACAGACACCTGCGAAAGCTGTACAAGTGTTCTACGAGGTTTAACGTCCCAAAACCACCATATCACAATGAGAGCCGCCGTAGGGGCGGGCTCCGCAAATTTTTTTTACCACCTGGGGCTCTTCAACGTGCACCCAAATTTGAGTACACGGGCCTACAGCATTTCCGCCTCCATCGGAAATGCAGCCCCCAAAGCCAGGATTTGATCCCGCTATCTGCTGATCAGCAGCTGAGTACCTTAGCCACTAGACCACCGCAGTGGGGTGCCTAAGCTGTAGAAACCGGGAACGTGTCAGTACACCAATCTGGTGTTGCCAACTGCAGGCGCATAGTGTGGTTGACGGTACGTACCGATGTGCAGGTAATCCACGGAGGCTATGAAATTTTGTGCGTTCAGAGCGTAATATTATTGTGAAACACATGCACCCTGTTTGCCTAATATTTTTCATAGGTACGGCTTATCCCATATGATTATTTATTAATCCAATAGCATGAACAAATATGACACATAACAAGCACGTGCGTTGTCCACGCAAACTGCGATGGACTATTGTAGAAAGAATTGCATCAGAATGACAACAATACGCAATGCGGTGACAACAAGTACACTCACGTAGAACGAGTTGTCAAGGTCCTTCAGCTTCAGCACTTTTTTGTCGTAGTACACGCCAGTGCGGTGACCTTCAGCGTACCTCAGCCTCTGCAGAAACGCAAAACAATGTACACATATGAGCGACGAATGCGGACAAGCGCTGCACAGGTGGCTGGGCTATTTCAAGTTCTCAGAAGCATGCATGCAGTTGAAATAAAAGACATATTCTAGCCGTAATGTGAAGCTTTTGTTGCACGGAGTTTGAGTAAAAGTAGTGTTGTAACGTGTTTGCGACCTGACAATATTATCTGGTTATCTACGAGCTAAAGGCAGTGATATCAAAATTAGGCAAATTTTTGAAGGACTTCATCGGTTTCTACCATCTGGTGTTTTCTAATGTGAACTGGCTTCACGCGGTGCACTGGTGTCAAACCTGCGACCTTTGGGTCAGCAGCCTATCATCGTAATACCTCCATTGCAGACTTCACCAGTTTGACTAGTAAATACTGAATTTCAGTCGAAGGCACGTATCTAATTCTAAATGAAGAACTTCAATTGAACAGCTGGACTAATGTAAGCGTCTACATTAATGAGAGCAAGCGACTGTGGCAAAATATTTGGAATGAAACTTATACCACTGCCGATAGCATGCAATAACTACGTAATAAATGTGCATAATCTACAAGACGGGCGAATCAGCAAGAAACACTTTTCTACAGTTTGCACACACCTTTATGAGTTCAATGTCGAAGGCCTGAATGTTGTCGCATAGTGTGTCCCACTGGTCATTCGTCGGTACGATGCCATACACGGACAGCATGGCGTCGCAAACGCTTTGTCGAAGCCAATTTGATGACTCCGTGGTTGAGAGAATGAACTTGGGAAGCGCGGTCGTCTCAGGCTCGTCTAACTGAATGCAAACGAACGATGAACAGTGACTCGTTCAAATCTGCCTCAATTCTTAGCTCGAAGTTTCGAAAACGTAGGTTTGTTTAGTAAAGTAGGTACAGCCCACAGAGGGCCCTGAAGTAAACAATGAGCAATATTTCAGGGTTTGGGAAACACCAAAATTACCGCGTCCCCATGGTTCCCATGCTGGTAGACCCTAAATGTCCACTAAATGTCAAGTGAGATGAACTCAAAAAAAAAATGTACAGGTACATTGTGCTATAAAAAAATACCATAGCACGTATCAAGTGACATAAGATGGCTGAAATTTACAACATGCTTCATAAGTATTAATGCCTCAACCTTTGAGTAATAGACGTGAGCTAAAAGCCAGGGCTCTATCATTGCTTCACAAGAGCATACTTACTTATCACTCTGACTTTTAACGGAATCGTTCACTGCACTGTGCTATTGACCTACTATTCAACGCAGCTGGAAAACTTATTTTTAATCGTCCTCTGTAAGTCGCTACAGTTGAAAGTATCAACTTCTGAGTTTATTTAGTACTGGCGCATAACTGATAAGCATTTCTCGTCAAAGAAGGTCATTTAATACTGTTGGGAAGAGGTAATTTTCTTGAATGAATCATCAGTTTGAATTCATTCGGGTGACTCAAAAATTAAGCCTCTTTTTCTGCATGTCATTCAACTACCCCTAATAATACCTGATGCGCTTTTCGGGAATTATTCTTGAAGCCAGATGGCAGCGAATTGGTCATTCTTAACTACTATGTCTAAAGTCTGTGAATGAAAAGTTTGGCTAACATTCGTACAAAGTTTACTGAATAATACCGAAAAGAAATACGACGTAGTTCCAGACTATGGTTCATGAAAAGCGCGAAAGAATGTTTCAAATGCACCCAGAGAACAACTATAAACATCACTCCTTTCAGAACGTTCGGCTCCACATTAACAAGATCTCACAACTACGATTTGGTCTGCCCCTTGAGTCAGAATATTCCTGCAACTATAAATTACGTGTTATAATACAGTGTGTTAGATGACTGTGGTGCTTCACTGATATTTTTGACGAATTCTCGAAGCGCACGTTTTATTTACTCACGTAGATGATGACTTTAGAGTAATCGTCGGGGTCTACTCTCATCTGGACTTTGACAAGAGGAAAAAGGCCGAAGTTCTTGGCCAGCTTGGCAGCGATCATGGAGATCTTGGGGTCGCCCTCAGGGTCTAGCGACGGGAAGTGCTCCAGCCCGAGAATGCGTGGCATCTTCTTGATGTCGTCCATGCTGCTGTTACGTTCTGCGGTGTAGATTGTGAGTGTCCAAGACTTCATCATAACTGACAGTGTGCAATTAATTGTCGCTTATCATATGGGCTAAAAGAAGTACAGTTTGCACTGCGGCCAGACGGAGTAGAACGAAAAAAGGGGAGTCTGCCACTGGTAACATTTAAAGGACTTGAAGGTGAAAGCCTGCTGCACACTTTGCTCTGGCTTAGGTTTTACTACAATAGACAAGACTTGTTTACAAAGATAATGAATCCCAGCCCCGTCTCCGATGAGGCTTCATGTCCTGTACCTGATATTGGTTCAGCTTTGACCAACCGACATAAGCGTGTGCAGGGGTCTCTTTCAGGGAATGTGTAGGCTCCTCGCAACCTCCTCTCCCCCTTCCCCTCTAATAAATGAATAAGTTGGGCTACTGCACGCCTATTCATATTAGTTTTCCAGGAGAAAGACTGAATATAAGAAAAAAGAAAGATGAAAAAAAACAAAACAAAGAATCGTGTCAGACACGAGCCCACAAAGCTTCTTTCGCCCCATATTGCTGACAAGGGAAAAGAGCGTCAATTATTTATTTAGGTTCTTTCCAAACTAAAGAACTTCGAATGATTTTTGCTGGTGCACCGACTTTACTATCAAACTGATGCACGCTTTCGGTCAGGACATAAAAAAAAAAGCCTTCACTATTTGGCTCCTTGTAACTATGCTGGAACGTGTGTATGACTAACGTAGATACTGTAAGTACAAGTGATCTCCGACACGTGGCTTTCGCTACGGATGATACTGGCCATTTGTTTTTAAATGCGAAACATTTCTTAGCGAGCTTCGGCGACTTTGAGCGTATCTATCTATCTATATATTAATCTATCTATCTAGCCGCCAGCTACATTTAGCTCCCCTGGCCGTTTCGATAATTGTATCAATACCAAACTTGGTTTGGCATAACATGACTGTATCAAGAACATATTTAAATAGTCATAACGTGAAAATCATGACATGTGAGTTATGAATGTCATGATTTATTGTCCTGCAGCTCTTGCGGTGGTTTGCGTTAACATGGCTTGTTGCAAAACTGGTATGGCATGGCATGATTGCATGGCGAACAGAAGTGACAGACCCTAATATAAAAATTATGACATGCTTGTCATGTAACAATATGGCCACATGCCAAGCTCTTGATGCGCTCGCGGCCATTTGGCTAGGGTCACATATACCAAGTTTGGTGTTACAGTAAGTGAATGAATGACGAAAGCATGTGACTGGTGCAAACATGATAATCATGAGATGCGTGTCATGTAACAACATGACTACATGCCACACTCATGATGCGTTGGCGGCCGTTACGCTAGCTTCACTTATACCAAATTTAGTATTGGTATGCTTGCACTTCTGCCGCCCTTATTACGAAATGTCCCCAACACAATTAGAGCCAACTGCTTCGGTCACTAGTCGTAAAAGCTGATCCGGGAGTGATACAGCACAGGTGAACCAGGCGCCGCCATTGTGACAGGAGTGACCAAATCTGCCACCGCGGACTAATCACAACCCAAGACGGGGTCTTCCGCGGCGCTGCGGGCGCTCGCGCTGTGCGGACTACTGATAAAAGTTTAGACAGCTTCGTACTCTTCCTTCGTTCCTGATATGATTGATATGTGGGGTTCAACGTCCAAAAACTACCATATAAAAAAATTCAACCACCTTTGGTTCTTTATTTGCAGCCAAATCTGAGCACATGGGCCTACAACATTTCCGCGTCTATCAGAAATGCAGCCGCCGCAGCCGGGATTCGATCGCGCGACCTTCGGTTCAACAGCCGAGTACCTTAGCCATTAGACCACCACGGTGGTGTCATTCCTTCGTAATTTATAAGTAAAAATATAGACATACGAGCGTCAACAGCGTTATTTCTTTCGTCACTTGCATGTTATAACACGTACAAGCAAGAACTCTTTCTTCAGTATTATGGAACTACAAACATTCTTTTCTACTGAAAATGCGACAATATCGTCATACAAATCACAGCTACAAAACGCAGAGCAGCCTTCAAGTAAAAATCCTCCGACGAGACCGCTTGCAAAAGTCTCGAGGACAAACAACGGGCTACGTATACGGGGCACTACATTTCGCTTCGGAACAACCTGCGTTCGAGGGTTCGACTTTAGAGTGCTCGCGTTTTGCTAATGTTGCGTTGCTGTGCCCAGTGTGCGTGCGTGTGAATTCTACATCGGAGTTTATTGGGCCATTCATGATGCACTCGCGGCCATTTAGCTAGCTCCACATATACCAAGTTTGCTGTTACGTGACATCAATGGATGATGAAATATATGACTGGTGCAAACATGATAATCCTGACACGCGTGTCATGTAAAAACATGGCAACATACCACGCTCATAGCGTGCTCGCTGCCGTTTCACTAGCTCCATTTATACTGAATTTGATATCACCTGACGTGAATAAATGACGAAGGTAAACGACGCATCCAAACATAATAATTATGACACGAAAGTCCCATAGGGCACCATTTACCTTCACCTCGTATTGTTGTGCTGATTTTAAAGTGACGTGTCAACATTTCTCATTCATGCTTCTCATATCATCTCTTCCCACTGTACGTGGGATCTGCCAAATTTTTTTTCTTCAAACACCCCAGATAACGGAGGGTTCTAAACGCAGTGTTGAAAAAAAAACTTTTTTCCTGGTATGTCCTTGCTCCTTCTCTCTGTCTTCAGTCGCGTTCATGTGGCATGAACTGCGAGATTCAAACTATGCTATCGGGCGCTGCTCATAGCTAACAGTGTTCTGGTACGTCTCGCACCGATATTTAAGAAATAAAGCCTTAGAGCATGTGCAAAAATATGAAACATTGAAAAAAAACGTACTATGTGCGCACTTATGTGAGGTTTCAATGACTTGGCCCATCGTATTTGTGTTTTTTTCCGTAGTATTTAATATATTTTTGTCGGTTTTCTTGTACACATCGGTGGAACGCGACAACGATGTAATTTGATAGTAGTGCCGTGATTTGTACTCTGCTGGTGTCAACTCTTCATCACTATATACTTAGATACGTGTGCACACCAACCGGTCACTTCATTTTGATAAATTATCAGGTGTACGTATGTGCTGTGATGATCACTGCGAGGTTGTGATCTCCACTTACTTGTGGCAGTAAGGTTTCATAATAAAGAATAGAGCAAACCTTGCAGAAAGCGCTTTTCAGTCTTTTTCTTACCTGCGTTCTGACAGGCTGCGAAGATCGCCTCGAACTTTCGGACAGGAATGTGAGTCATTTGGTTCATGATTTGGCCCTGCTCCGTAATAGAAGCTGAAATACGTGAACAAAATGCACAAATAGTGCTAAAGGTTTTATGTTTGATCCTCAGCGCAATGTTTATTTGATTGCATTATAACATATTACCGTGACAGTAGAAATGTACCTTGCAAATATCAATTGTCGCAGTGTAAATGCTTGTAGTTAACCCGTCGAGTGTTCTTGCCGTGTATGTACGGCAGCGGTTTTCCTTTTTGCAATGTCTTTGCTGCGCGGGTACATCTTCGAACCTCCCTTTAAAATATCACCCCGTAATGATGCATGGTCATTGGGACACGATGCCACTTCCCAGGAATAACAAAAAGCGTTACAAATGATTGCAATAACTTTATGCGGAGATAAACAGAACTCATTTATATTTTCTGCTCATCGCGTGGATGACGGTGACGCCAATGATCAATGCCATTTTGTGATTTCAGTTTCGCCGCGTAATCAAAATGGTTGCGCGCGATACTCTATTTCTAACAAGTGTGTTATGCCGGAGTCCACTACACCTCTACTGACTTATTTCCGTCACGTATATGACGTTGTAACTTATGCGCTAGAAGACGCTAGAGACCTCTCACTTTGGAACACGTGGTGTGAAACGATTCGACCACAAAGTAAGCATTTTTGTGCATACTGACCGCAAGCCATTCATCTTCATCGTTTGCTGTCGGCGGTTCTCAAAGCTCGTTGGCTTCAGCGTGTTTTATTCATCACTAGCGAGATGACGTGATGGGCTTGAAGGGCGCGCTTTAAAGAACACTGCCCCGTGTGCTGCCATGGGCGCACGCTATAATGTCACGTTGGGAAGAGTTCGTACGTCTTGTGCTCTCACAGCAAGTTCGAGAGTGCACGGCGGTCACTTCGCTTACTTTAGCAGACGCTTTTATGAAAAGGGCGCACCGCTCAGACTTAGGAGTAACAACTGTAACAGTTTTTAGTCCTTGCTCATCCTTGGTACAGCTGGGCCTTCATTTCAGGCGGATAGTTTGCGGTAGAGCAGCGCGCTTGAGGTGTCGAGCTGTGAGCTCTGTTCATTCACGCTCCTTCTGTGTATGTTTATCCCACATTCCCCTGCTGATTGAGCAGGACATTGCATGTTTGTAGCGGCTTGCCGTTCTGCGTCTCAAAACTCTATTCGTTGTGCAAAGTGCTAATCAGTTAATCACTTTCTCCCTTTTGGCGAAAAGAAGGTACAATGAATGCTAAGCTACTTCTGCGAAGCTGTGTTTCATTTTTTCTGTTATAAAAATTCCAATGAATGAGAGAGATCAGCCATAACTTCATCGTTATTGGCATTTCTTAGCAGGGGCGCTGGAAATTATTTTCATACTTATTCGCACTGCTTCTAGCTGGTCACCGAAACTCACGGGGTGTTCTCGTTAACCTTACTTACTAAGTTTACTCAGCCCAAAGCAGTCGTATGCAGAGAAGATGCCTTGCGTGTGCGCCAACACAGCGCCTGACGCGTTTTATACGTGCAGACTTCCATAAGACACTGTGCCCAGACCCGTGTTCAAAGGAGTATCACGCACCGAAATACTGTTGAACGATATGCAGTTCTGACTGATAATAACACAAAAATACGGCTTCTAAGTTTTTCGTTTATTTATTTTTGACTCCACACGTTTATTACCTTCAAAAACCAACTTAAAGTAAGCTGAGCATCTGCGAAATATTTTTCGGAATTAATCTACATTCACAGGAATGGTGACAATGGTTATTGCTTAGGTAAATTTGCAAAATTCGGATATTCCTAATACGTGTGCTGACTATGCTACGATTATGACCGTGCTTATACATCCCCAACGACCCTATCTGTAGGTTATTATTTACAACTCGAAAACGTAGACAGTTTCATGCTAAGGCTGCCTAATTGCATTACTTGCAGGTGAGGCTTCTACACCCCACACTGAATGTAGGGTTACGGACTTGGTGCAGTCACAGTCAAGAGCGGCTGATTTAAGCTAGAAAAGCAGTGCAACTAACTTATTTTCCATAAAGTAGTAACCAATACACCCAAAATAATTAGGTATATTGACACGTGTGAATTGTGAATTATATTTCGCCTATTTTTAGGAATAGACAACAACTTTACTGCAAAAATTGGCGTTGAATTTCTCTAGTGGTTTTTTTGTTCAACATTGATGATGCACTTCTGAAAAGACCGTTGCACGTCCACTCGACTCGAAAAATACGAAGAGGTGAGTTCCGAATGCGGCTGCAGACGTGACGACATACACCGGGTATTTTTGTTTCCGGTAATGCCGTGAGAGCAAGGCTTTTTTTTTTTGTTTTCGAGCACGCACTCTATGTCAACACAAAAATACTTTGCCGCAGTTAGCATGACAGTGTTGTGAGTAAAATAACAAAATATTTGTTAACTTGTTAACTCGGAACTTGATGGCAACTCCTATACTACAAAGATGTAGCGCGTGTCTACATAAGATGTAGCACGTGTTTTTAAGAATAAAGATTTTTGTAAGAGATCGAAAATGTTGCACGTAATTTGAGATATTTATCACCGAGCTTGACGTTAAGTACAAAATTGAAACTAATGGTGCAGGGCGCGTGATCATCAAGAAAGATGCACACAAAGATATGTTTTTTTTTCTAAAAAAGTACCCTCCCTCCTCTCCTGGTACACGCCTGTACTATGAGTTATTTTTCTAATTATAAATGCACAGTACCATCCACTGTTAAAGGGGACACACTAATCAACATCTGTCACATTGTGGGCCCCATAACTGCATGTAGACGGACAAAAATACTTTGTGCGCGGTATACTAGTTTAATAAAATGAGGGAGAAAAGCCAACCAGCAGTAGTCTAAAGCAACCCTAAGCCACCATGTTTTTTGCAGGAGCGAAGTCTGAGCATGAGGCACACGAAAGTGTTCCCTTTACCAGTGAACCCGTCTGTACAGTCGAAGCGCTTTACCTTCGATCTCCGCGAAGAGCGTCTTCTCGATATCCGAGACGATCCAGTCGTCGAACGAGAACTTCCTGGCGTACGGGGGAATGCGCGCGTTGTGCGACCACTTCCGGCACACATGCGAGTAGAAGTCTTCGCACGGGTCCGTGCGTCCGCGCTCGATGATAGCCTCATAGAACTGGGCTGCGAGTGACAAGAAAGAGTATTTGATGAGATATGGTATAGAGATCCGCCATCATACTGTCAGGTGATAATAATACTTCACAAAGGAGTGCGGCAATATCGAGGCTCGGATAGCTCGGTGCACCGTCTTTGCCAAGCTGATGCACTCGCGCGTAACGTTGTAAAACGAAGTTTCAGGAAAACTTCCTTCATACTTGGCGCTGGCTGCTCAATAGGCGCGGTACTTTACATAGGATTGCTTAAGGTATACACTTGCGAAGAAGTTGAGATAGTTTGCTCACTTCTATGTGTTTGAAAATAATGCTTTACTGCAGCTACGTCCACCAGTTGGTGATGACACGACATGACATAAGCAAACCCATGCTCTGGACTGGGCAAGTCAAACTTTCTAAAAATAAAAGCCTTAGTATATATATATATATATATATATATATATATATATATATATATATATATATATATATATATTTCAAACTGGAAGATATATGCTGCGTAAAATAATAAGAGGTTTAAAAAGAAACACTTGAAACAAACTAGCGCAAACCAAGTTTAAATGACAGGGTGCGAAAGCGCAACAAGACAATAAACCAAACGCAGGCCAAACGCAGGCATTTGGACGAGCACTGTAAACGCTGCAGCTGCAGTCCAACTCCTAATAATGAAAATTTGTTGGATTTAACGTCTCGAAATCAACATCTGTTTACGAAAGACGCCATAGTGCACGCTCCGCGAACATTGACCAACTCAATTTCTTTAACGTGCACCTAAAACCAAGCACACAAGCTCAAGCATTTTCGCCTCCATTCAAAACACAACCACCTCGACCGGCTCTCCATCCCACGACCTGGGGGTCAGCACCCGAGTGCCTTAGCCACTAAACCACCGTGGCGGGTTTCTAATTCCTAATTGGACAAAACTCTCAGAAATGTCCGCCTATAGTTTAGAGAGAAAGATTGTCGAAGCATTTTGCATTGCGTGTGCCGGAAAAAATTCATAGTTTTTAGAATACACAGTTTTATTTTTGTTACTAAAGCTAGTACATTAAAACAAAAGACTGCGTTTTAGGTGAAATAAGTCGGTGCATGCGAGCAGGTGATCTCAGTCACTAGTGGCATTCAGCGAAGTGTAATTTCGTGTGCCATTTATATACCTCGGTTCCATTGGCTGCTGCAAAAGGGTTCTCGTATGCTTCATTAGGTAAAGTTTGCCCTAAATATGATGTCACCAAAAACGCTCACAGTCAGAATAATCGAATGATGTGGATGAAAGTTCTTTAAACTACAACTGTGGAGAAATAAATTATAGAACATAGCCTTCGAATATCTAACATTCACATTTTCCCTACAATAGCATCTTGGAGCGCGATTTACCAAAAATATTTCGATCGCGTGGTTTGATAAATGCGGCTTTTTCATCAATGGTTGGAAGCTTGTCTTTCATGTTTCTATGTTAGGAAGAAAACAACCACTAAGTTATTATTTTAGGCATAATGATGACAGCAATAAAAAAACACAGTACACGACATTCCAGAGGCATGTTGTGAACAGTTATGTCCATCGTAAAAGATAAGGAACAATAGAGCAGCCCCGCGCATTGTTTGAAAACAATAGAAAGTTGCCCAGAAAGACCCAGTATAAAATACTTCCATAAGTATATAGCGAGCAAGATAGCCTACCAATGGGAAGACACACCGATACACTCATTGGCTTAGGTCTTTTCTTGATGTCCGTAGTCTATACTGTGCTTTCCCTTTTTTGAGGCACTTGAAACATCAGTGGAACATACACAGTTCTTCTACATCAATATCGTTCACTCTTATGCCTTTTTTTTCGCAATAAGTATAGTTGTTGCCCTCCACAGCTCTCCAATGCAAGAGATCATTAGTAACGTTCGAGTAAACGGGGCTATTTGCCAACCTCCTGCCCTGCTTATGCGATGTTATATTTCAGGAGTCTTGAACACGTGGCCCACTGAGCTTCCGGCACTTTATCGAGGATGGCTCATGAAATATTTCGTCTCATATTTTTTATTACAGGGTGATTGCTCGGTTGCATTGCTATATGGTGCTCGCAATATTGTGCCCTTCATTGTGACTGATGAAGTTTTGTTAAGTCGAACTTCACAGACAGGACTCATCATAAGCGTTTTTGTCGCGCAACACCCCAAAGAGTCACTTTAGACTAAAACGTAATGGCGGACTGAGAACGGTACATTTCAAGATTGGCGTCCAGAATTTACTCATTAGGAAGATGTTGGTGCAATCAAGATGCCGAATATCCCTAAAAATGGCCCCAACTTCCTATGAAATCAAAATATTTGCAAACATCCACTAAATATTAACACGTTCGATCACCTACCCACCCTGCTCGTCAATTTACCAGCTATTTGCGGGAGTATATTTCGTAACTGTCGCACTTCTAGACAATTCTGTTACAACATGAGATATTTTTTAGCATACTTGATTTTGCAATCATATATATGTTACGTTCACATAAAAAAAACTGGCGTTGCGGTTATTTGCAGGTTCTATGCATTTCTTGCCTCTACCTCCGTTCCTCGCGCTAAATGTTCGAAGCATGCAACGCCATCTCGGTGTGTGCTTTTGTTATTAGCTAAAAACACATTGTATTAAAGTTTTAGCACAAGGCTGCATTCTATACACATAAACTAGCAGTATTGAACATAAAAATGATTTGTATCACCTCAAGGGTGAATCAATATTTGCGATTGCAACGATTCGGGAGGCTTTTCAAAATCAGATTTTTATCATATTGTGTACGCTAAATTGTTGTAAAAGTGTCACATGAACGATCCTCTTTTAACAATGTCGGCTGTATTCAGACTACTATGCACGAAGTGATAGACTGCTCTTGACCCTCACTACAGTATTGCTCAACTTGTGACTGAACAAAAACCACTACTCACCGGCTTCCCTGCAAGCCCGGCTCTCGCATATTCGTACTCTGTCGAACCCTGAATCGAGGAAAATAACAGGCAGCGCCGATTTAGTGAAGAAATCAAGCAATCATGGTGACAAGCACAGAGCCACAGTTTACGTTTTGCCGTACGCCATTGGTCGGAGAGACGGAGTGATAGCGCAAGTACAAACAATGAAGCCTCGAAAGACACTTTAACAGCAAATTAAAAAAAAATGGCTGAAAGAGGCAGCTTGCGGAGATGTTGTCATCATGATTCAGCAAAACAGTCGCAATGCAATGACCAATAAAAAGCACACAGCAGTGGCGTATGCAGAAATTCTTTTTGGTGGGAGGTTCAACCATGCCTTATTTGTATGTTCGTGCACGCCTTTGTAGGTGTGCGTGTATGTAGGCGCAAGCAACACTGAAATCTTTTGAAGGGTGAAGGGCTGAACTCCCCCCTTCCCTTGTTGGCTACGTTCTTAACTAAAAGGGTGTTAGTCGTGGGCGTAGACAGACGTGTTTGGATGTCCCATTGAAAACCACATATAGGGTTTCCAGCCATGTCACACTCCACTGCTCTAATGACATGATTTTGATACTTGATTAATATACAAAAAATCAATTACTTACCATTTTTAATGGCCCACTGCTCGTAATCACTTCTAAAATGTCAAAATTTTGGGGGTCTTATGCAGCACGCACTCCTCAGCGCCTTGTGAATAGGTATTTATTTATTTCTTCTCAGGGCAAGAGAAGGCCTATACGTGTTGTTTAGCGACACCGAAGATGAGAGTGATGAAAGCAGCTTTATAGTGTCTATAATATACGTTTACAGTATAGACATAGAGCTATTCACATGCCTGAAAGTTTGCTTGTACATCTGAACATTAAGAACTTCTAGAAATCTTCATGAGGAACGCACTGCGTGACTGCAATTAAGTAATGCTCGAAGATAAGACGCCGTTTTTTGGCACTCACCCACGAAGCTCTTGAGGAAAGCGGCGATGGGAATGGTGACAAGCAGGAATGTGGCCACCGGCACGGCGCCAACCACGAACCACCAGTATGATGTGCCGCTCGAGTGGCCCTTGGTGTCGGTCGAGGCACCGCTGCTACTCTGGCGCCTGCCACGCAGAAGGGCAATGTTTGAGACAGAAATTAGCAGCTTAGAAGATGCCATCAAGAATCTATACCCTGAATTTTACCTCATGTAGCTTCACATGTTTTTCTGAGATTTCTTTGCGTATTCAAAGCAACGGCGAATAGTTTTTTAAGGAAATATGTTTTGACAGAGCGAGCAGATTTGTGTTCATGTTAAAACGTAATGCCATAGAACGTGATGCATGGATGCATTTCACGCTCCCTTGTTGGTTTGTCTTCCATTGTTCACCTTGTTCTGTTCTTCAGTTAATTCCGTTATTCTGACTGGGCAGTCGGCTTTGCTGATGCCGTGTTCTTTGCCCTGTTTTATATTGATAAAGCTGTGATTGTAAATATTTTTCATCAGTGTGTAATCGCTTAACAACAAAAAACACACGAGGGCTCGTTGACATGTGCTTTGCGCGTAGAAACGGGAGGAACATTTTTCAACTACGAGATACCGTGCAGCGGCATAGCTGAATGTGTGAAAATTGAGTAATTAGGAATATGCCTTTTTTCTTAACCTTTTATTTACTTTTCTGAAATAGAGCTGGGCAGTTGAAATAAAAGTTTGGTCAAAATGATGACCATCACAAGACTGTCACTAATACCAATATCGTTACACTAGAAGCTTTTAAAAGCACTGGCAGTGTAATAATAGCCATGAATTATGTAGACACTGCTGACAACGCCATTGAGTTGGTGCTAGTAGGATGATATCTTCTAAAATATTTTCACGTCATTGGTTACTGCTAAAAACTGTAAATAGCATTCCTGTTTTCTCGTATAAAACAAATACTCGTTTTTCGTGTATCGTTTAGAGTGTTGTCCCAACTATGTCAAAAATTAGTGGTGTTCAAATTTCCTCAAACAAAATGAAGGATGCATGCGCGTAGTGTAATGAATGAAAAACTCACTTCAAATTCACGAATTTTCATCTGGCTAATTTAATTCGTGGGAAACTTTCACCCAGTCAAAATCTATAACTTATCAGTGGCGCCTACTGATAGGGGCAATGACGACTTAGGAAATAAATGCTTAGTTACACTGTGCCTGCTTCACAGAGATACTGTGCTTTAAGATTGTTCAGAATGGAAGAAGGCAGATGAAAGCGATCAATCCAGCAGAAAGGAACCAGACTCACGTAGTAGAACTGGTCAGGCCGGTAGTCTTCACGGTGGTGGTGTATTTCGACGAGGACGCGACCTTAGAGTAGGTCGTGGACCCTGTGGTGTCTCGCATCTCCAGCGTAGTGTCGTGGGACGTGGTGTCCTGAGGTTGGTACAAAGATTTAGTGGCATTCAATCAAATAGAATTTTTTCACAAGGCTGGCTACATAAAAGACAGCCTCGCAACTACTGCGAGCAGAGTGGAATGGGCGGTACTAACAACGATGACTACGTTACTTTGCCACATCAAGCAATATACTGCGCATTGTTGTATCGGTATTCACGGTGGCCGCTAGCGTATACTCGCAACTATACTAGGCGTTACGTTAACGAAAAAGACGTGATGAAAGCAGTTGCTGAACAGAACGTTCATAATAATGCCGCAGAATCATTGAATAAATAGAATTACGTATTATAAGTCAGCGTAATGTGAACGCCTTTTGCATGAAAAAAATTAGGTGTTATAAGCTAAATACTCGGTAACGAGAAATGCAGATGGGAGTTTCAAATAGACTTATCTAACAAAGAGCTGCAAGGTTTAATGTTTGAAACAGTGCTAATCTGAGAAAGCGTCATCGAATAAAGGTGCTGTTGGCAATTTATAACACTTTAAAAGGCTACATGAGCATATGATGGCCCGAAGAGCCACGAATTTACATCTTGGCAATGTAGCTACGACATTTACTAGAACCAATGGTCTGAGCGTCCTAAAGCAACCTCCTGTGCGCAACGTCAGTTTACACTCATTTGTGCTATAGGTTTTGATTCGAAGCTGCGTGAACGGAGCAATATTATAGAAACATGTGGCCAACCAATGCGTGCTTAGGCGATCAGCGCACCTTGCCTCAAAAACGTATCAATAATTGCACATCACCGCGAAAAATACGCCCGACCGTGGTGCAAAGCTAACTCTATGCGTTAACAGAAAGGCGCATATAAAGAAGCAAGGCGCCAACATGTTGTCGGAAGACCAGTGCTCCGGTGCCGTAGCGAAATCGAGCACGACACTGGCATTCATTCCCAAAGAAACCTTTAGGAGGGCATGACAAGCGTGATAGGAAGAACAGGGTATAAGGAGCCGCTCTGGGCTGAGGTACTCACCCCGGAGTAGGGATTCATGGCTGTTTATTGCATTTTTTTCTGACCAGCTACTTAAACTCGGCTGGTTCTGGATACCACGCGCGCATGCCCCGGACCGCGCGCGTCACACCCACTTCGTTGTCACTTTCTTCCATACCCGTTCAAAACAGGCACGTGGAAGGGCGATGATCAGACTTGAGCTAAAAAGTCCACTTCACCAGACTGATCAATTGTTATTCGCTTATGTTTGTCTCACTACATCAGTGGAACTCTTACGCTGCTTCATAGAAAGAAATGTTGTGGCTTCACATGTAGAGTATGGCCGTGGCGTGGAAGGTAAAGACATAATGCCAGTGACGTATTAGGTTAGAGAAGCTCCCATAAGGAAAAAAAGAAGAGAGATAATAATGGTGACCCAATGGAGCTTTGTGGCAGCCAATCCCCCTCAGTGGGTGAAAGCCACAAAAGGAAGGATCAAGCAAGCAAGCGAGGTTTATGGCCTTTATTCAAATTCATCAAGCGTTCTAACATTCTGGCCTGAACGTTGGACATCCAGGCGTTCTATTTTGCCTCACAAGACGTTCTTGCTCCGTTCTCACATCACGATACCGTACACGATGGTCAGGCTTTATGCACAATGTCACATGAACTCGCATTGTCAAGAGAGTGTTTAGAAAAGGATTTGAAAGGCGGCTCTTCTAGTTTTCGCTGTGACTCTGCTGCGCCTTCCGCGCAGGCCTGGCGTTTTTAATCTCAATAGCCCACCTAACGTTGTTTCCCCTTCGAGCATTTGCCTTCTATCAGAATCGGGTCAGGGACCCTTAATTACCAGTGGTTATCTTGCTTATATGCAACGTCTTGTCTTGTCTTGTCTCCTAGGAGATCTTGGCTCATACCCACATGGGGGATTGGCCACACTGTACCTCATAATTGATCATTTTTTACAACGCAAAAAATAAAGAGAAATTAGATAGGAACAATAATAATGTTCCTTTGAAAAAACGTGAAAAATTGCAGAAGAATGCGATAAACCAGATTATATAAAACAAATTAACAAGAATGAGGAAGAGGGAGAAAGAATTGGATATATCTGGCAGTACCACTAGCAGCGTATCCTTCCGGTTGCCTGAATGAATTTATGTAGCGCTGACAGAATAGCACTGTGGCCCACACCCAGCTGACTGGCTCCAAACGATAATCGGGTGGACTGGCAATCCGAGCATACCAATCGGTCTTTCGAGAATAATTCGGCGCAGTGAGGTGAAGTGGCGGCATGTGAGACGAAAGTGATCTATTGTTTCCGGTTCATTGCAAACTACACATAGGTTAGTTAATGAAAATCCTGATTTGTTGAGATAAAAATTTAACAGAGGAACTCTACACCGAAAGCATGTGAGGGTCAACTCACATTGACGGGAAAGGCATTTTGTGGCGTTACATGTGAATTGCAAGTGGCGAAATTCTTCAGGTTGTAGAAGCAACGTTTCGTTGTTTTTTAAGATTAACAGGCGTTTGAATCGTTCGGCAGTAATAAAAGAAAACTGTGGAGCTACTAGCACCACCGGGAAATTTAAAGATGCCGAAGCGAGCGAATCAGCAATTTCATTTAGTTCAATTCCAGCATGCCCTGGGACCCAAATAAACCGAACTTCCGATAGGCTATGCGGTACGACAGACCAAAATATCCTGAGAAGAGGAGAATTTTTTGCGGAAGTGAGATGTGTACATACAGACAAAGCATCCGAATAATAATAGCTTTTGGTATGCAACGTGCCCGGTTCCTATTCATTTCTTCTTCTTAATATCAAGTATGATATCCTTAAGCCCGGTTCGTTCCCTGACCAATTCTGCTCTCTTCTTGTCTCTTAGAGTTACTCCTAACATTTTGCTTTCCATCAATTGCTGCATCGTCCTCAATTTAATCTCGACCCTCTTAGTAAGTCTCCAGGTTTATTATGCGTAGGTGAGCACCGCCAAGATCTTTTTTTTTTTGTTGCCCTTCACTTATGGCTAATACCTACTGTGGGGGATCTGCCAATAATTGAGTGGGCTTATAAAATATTATTCGATTTTAAAATGAAGGAATTTACAAATCAAAACGTTTCAAATTTGAGAATGAAATTTTGATGATCACTGATATGTACCTTCTATAAAGTATTTCATCAGTAATAGATAAATAACCTAGATCAAAACCTAACTTAAAAAAAGAGAGAATTTACACGTTTGTTGACACAGAAGAATAATATGAGTTTGTTAGTCTTTTCGTTTCATTCAGGTAATTACACACTGCCTCGCAAACGTTTGCACTCGTCAACCCAGAAATAGAGGCTCCAAAGGACAGAATCACAGGCAAAAATAAATTCATTTCAATAGCACGTAAAGGATTTTCTAACTTGGACGTACGAGCTGTCGTAAATCGCCTACATGTAAAAAATGAACCATAGTTTACGGCTCACCATAGAAAGCGCACATTGAAGAAAAAGCCTGACCAGACCTGTGCTGGTAGAAATTTAGTTTGGACTCTCTACAGCGCAGCCGCCTAATTGCTATTTCTAGTTTAGGCGTGTCAAAGAGGATCGGCGCCAAGAATATATTAGGTACCGATATTCAGTCGAATCTGTGAGTGATGTACACCTGAGGAGTTTTCCAAAATGGTACGCCTGCGAAATGGCGCAACCGTTACATAAGCGGCTGGTGGAAAACTCGGTACAATTAGCCCACTTATTGCTGACTTCACTAAAGAATTGGTCATTTCGCTTAAGAGCAACCCTGTATGGCCTGGCACCCAAACTAATCTAACTTTTCTCAAATGAGGGGGGGGGGCTAATAATGCACGAAATGCCTTAAATATGTGCCATTCAGCCCCAACAGAAAGTGCAGCGCAAAGAGACAGAAAATTTGTAATTATAACAGCCAACGAAGTTTCCGCATTTAACTTTCATAAGGCGAGCACTACTGCCAGAAACTCAGCCACAAGAACAGGTATGAAATCAGGCGGTCGGAGCGAAAAGAACCAATCTAAGTTCGGGCTGAGTATGCCAACAGCTGACTTCTCATTATTCTGTGCATCTGTAGCAATAATTACACTTGTTTTGGTGCTCTTCAAGTGTTCTTGCAATAAACCATCTAGGGTGTGATGGGCGAGCAACTTTGTATTATTAGAAAAAATGACGTGAAATTTAATATTCATGCACGCGTGGGGTGAGTTATCGCTAGTCGGCCTTATCTCACCGATACGCATATTCAGTGGGTCCAGTAAACTTTGTACAAATATCATTTGTGGAGTGTGAAACCATGGCCACCTAACACCAAAAAAATAATTCCAGGGAGGATATGAACACTGTCTGCCACTGCTGGAGTGGTGAGTCATAAATTCTCAAAAATGTCTGAACGAACAAGTTACGAAACCTGCATGAAAGAGAATACATTTTTGATTCTAGGTATAAAACGCAGTTAAAAACTGCTTTAGGGAGACTAAGGCATAAACGTAACGACTTTCTTTCTAAAGGAATAAGAAGCCGAATTTTGAAGGTTGGAGCACCACAGAAAAACGCGCATCCGAATTCCAGAATTGGACGAACATACAATCAATATATCAATACCGGTGTATCTCTTCTCATACCTCTTCAGGGGTTGCTTATCTTACGTAACATGCCGACGACTCGTCCACCGTTTCCAGCTATGTATTCCATGTGTTGGGGCCAGTTTAGAGATGAATTAAAAATTACCCAAAGATATTTAATAGATCCCACCTGTGATATGCTGCTGTTATATACCTTTCTCTTGAAGCACGTTACCCACTATAGTGATAAACTATCATTGTTAGTTGACACGTATTTACTATGCCAGCCTTCGTCATTTTTCGGAGAAGCGTGGTACCCACTACACACTTGTCAAGACATTCATTGCAATTTTTCGATGCTGTTTCTGACGACGAGCAAAAGTTCTACCTAAAGCTTTAATGACGCAATTCACATTGTGTGACGCCTGATTCTTCCTTTGCTCTATTAGAGGGATTTATTACTCATATTATTCCTTTGATACCCAAGATTTTGTTTTAATGAAAAACCACCAAGAAATCTCTGGTATACACAAGGAAAAAAAATTATGAATATTGATATACCAATAATGAGTTGCCGTTCCAGAGTGACATTCGGCACCTAAGGTAATACTTCACATTTCTTCTGGTTTTTGTATATTACAAGCAATATTTTATAAATTTATTACTGTGAAAATAATAAGGACATCTAACTACGCAGACATTTTTTGTAAAAAGAAAGTTTTTTTCCCCTTTTTTTATGCCGTGCAGATTGGCGCATTTGTTCAGGGAGAGACTGTGTCGAGCACTCTCTTCTACTGAACACCCTGCCGAGCCTAAATTTTCCCCATTATATTATTGAGGGTATAGCTGAATACTTAAAAATAAAGGCATTTTATTCCGTGAAAAATAAATGTTGCTCGCATACATTCAAACAGAAAGGTAGAATTCCCCAAAAGGCCGTCCTATCTCCAGTATTACCTAATTTACTGATGACCTCTATTCCAATTGATCAGGATTTCAGTGTCCACAGTTATGCAGATGGTGCGTTCCTTGCTGCAGACAGTGACATTTACTCATTGTACAAAAGTTTCAAAGATATATTATTACTCTGGATATTTGGTTGCAATCCATTTCATTTTCATTGAACATCAGTAAAAGTGCGCTCTTGGTGGTTCCCACAGAAGATTCAATTTCAATTTGTGTAATATATAATCAGGAACCTGTTCCACAAGTAGGTTCAGTCAAGTACTTCTGAGTTATTTATAATGAAAAGCTTTATTGGAGCCCACTTATGAAATATATAACAGCAAAAGCGCAATGGGCGTTAGGTTTATTACGCAGGCTAAGCAACAGAAAATAGGGGCTGCGCAGAGACACTGTGGTAATTATATGCAGAATGTACATGTGCCCAATATTGCAATTTGGGTGTGTATTATTTTCAGGGGCCGCTGCTTATAAAATAAGCCTCTAGTTTTGTTAGAGCGAGAAGCCCTGCGAA